TTATTTAAGGCTCCACTCTGCAGTGCCCTCTTTGCTGTAAATCAGGTACCACACATGTGTTGTTCACCTTCTGAGTGTCACCTGCTGTCCCTTGGACGAGTTTCATCTTCAAATTATAATAAAATTTCACTTTCTAAATTGGGCAGGGTGGCACACACTTGTAACTCCAGCACTTGGGAGGCTGAGGCAGGAGGATCCCTAAGAGTTAGAGGCCAGCCTGGACTCCATAGTGAGACCTTGTCTCAAAAAGCCCCCAAAAGCCAGGGATATAGCTCAGTGGAACATGTGCCTGCCTGGCAAGTGCAAGGTCTTAAGTTCGATTTCTGGCACAAAAAAATAAAAATAAAAACAAACAAACAAGAAGTAAAATATCGAAACAACAACAACAAAAATCACTTCCTAGTTTCCTGTGTTTATTTTGTAGAAATAAAATTTTTAAAAAATTTAAGCTCATGTGTCTGATTTTTTCCCCCCAACACTATGGTCATAAGGTTCACTCATCTTCCCACAGAAATAAAATGTTTTATATTTTATCTTGTATATAGTACCCTTACTGAATTCATTTATTGATTCTACTAAGGTGTCCACGTATTGTTTTAGATTTCCTAAACATTAACAACCTTGTTTTCCTTTCTCTAATAGTTATAGAGTGATCCTTTTTCTATTTCTTCTTGAATGGTTGCGATGTCATAGTTCTCCAGGAACTGTTCTTTGTAAAAGCTTTCAAATTTATCGGTACACAGATTTTTAAAAAAAATATTCCCTTATTTTTAAAATGTCTGAACGTTTGTATTCACTCTTTATATTTTCTAATTCTTAATCATACTTTATTCTTGGTGAGCCTACTTCTTGGCTTTGTTGGTCTTGCTTTATTTTTATTTTTTTCCACTAATTTCCCTTTTTGTTATATCCTTTTTACTGTGAGGGTACTGTGTTATTTTCTAACTACACACAGAATATGAACATAAAGTTCATTAATTTTTAGTTCTTCTTTTCTCATTTATGTCTGTATACTTTTCCCTCTAAAACTTGCTTTCTGTGTATGTCAAAAGTAGTTTTGATATGTAACATTTTTATCACTTACTTTTATATTTTTCTTCTTGATTTCTTTGATCTATGAATTAACCATAGGCACCTATGTGCGTGTATTTTCCAAACTTTTTATTTATCTTTTTATTGTTTCCTTTACTTCTCTGTGGTCAGAGAATGTGAATTAGTTGATATCTGTCCCTGGAGTGGTTATCGGCTTTCTTTCCCTTTCTTTTTCTTTTTCCCTTTCTTTTTTTCTTTCTGCTTTCTTTCTTTCTTTCTTTCTTTTTCTTTCTTTTTTGAGACAGAGTCTCACTGTGTAGTTCAGGCTGGCCTTGAACTCACTATGTAGCCCACGCTGGCCTCAAACTCGAGTGATCCTCCTGCCTCAGCCTCTCGAGTACTGAGATTACAGGTGTGCACCACCACACCTGGCTTGCTTTGATTTTTGGTTTTGCTTTTTCAGACATGGCCTCACTGCATACCTGAGGCTTGCCTTGAATTCACCCTCCTGCCCCATCCTGCCCTGGGATTACAGGTGTGTGCCACCACATCCAGCTGGTAGGTCTCTCATAATAGCACATAGTTAAAAATGATGTTTTAATTATTTTTATTTTTGAATTAAGTTTATCGGTACATTTTAGGTATACATAATGATCACATTCATCATAGGGAATTTGTACCTGTATGTGACATGACTTGATTCTTTTTTTTCCCATTCCTCTCCCCTTCCTTCAATCCCTCTTCTCCTCCTTATTTACAGATTTTTTTTCATTTTTCCCTTCTAAAAGTCGATCATTTAGAAAACTCTAATAATAATCCCAGTCTCAATCATCTAACTGGTAAAGTTTATTCAGTTTTGCTTATTGTAACCATTGCAGATTTGGTTTCTACCTCTGTATTTATTTGCACGGTTCTGAACTGTAGGTTTCTTTTTCCCCTGCTTGCCTCTCCTGGGGTCGGGCTGCAGAGTGCGTGCGTTTTCTGCTCCGGCTGTTGCCTGTCCTGCTGGAAGGTGTCCGCCCCCCATCACCCTGCAGTCTGAGTCCCGCATGCGAATTCCACTGAACTCTAAGCTCAACTCTCTTCACCTCTGCTCAGGACGATGTGTTGGAAGGAACACGAGACAGGACAAGGGCGAGCGGAGGCTGCTCCGGAGCCGGGCCTGCCGGGGCTCTTACGCAGCAGGCGCTCGGAGCCGCCTGGGCCTCGGCTGGAAGAGCGGGCGCTCAGGTTGCTCCTGGTCGGTGTGTCTCGCAGTTGCATTCGCTGTGCTGGGCACTGGGTATGAACTTTCAGCCTCAGAAAGCCTCTGCTCTTACTGCTTGGGTCTCTCCCACATTCTGTCTTTTTGACCACCACCCTACCAGGTATGAAGTAGCACCTCCCTGTGCATTTCCCTGATGCTGAAGATGTTGAGCCTTTTTTTTTTTTTTTTTTTTTTTTTTGAGATAGGGTCTTACTGTGTAGCCCAGCCCTGCCTTGAACTTAAATTGATCCTCCTGCCTCAGCCTCCCAAGTGCTGTGATTACAGGTGTCCCCCCCACACCCGGCTTTCATCCATTTTTTTACATTTCCTTTTTAGGCTTTTTAAATTATTGAGTTATAAGAGTTCTTTATATATTCTAGACAGAAGTCACAGATATGTGATTTACAAAATTTTCCATTTTGTGGCTTTTCTACCTCTGCCTACCGGTACTAGGGATTGAATTTAGGGAGCACCAAGCTACATCTCCAGCCTTTTTGATTTTGAGACAGAGTCTGCTGAATTGCCCAGGTAATTTGTGATCCTCCTGCCTCAGCCTCTGAGGCAGGTGAGATCACAGGTGTGTGCTGCCACACCTGGCTGTTTCTTGCTTCTTTGAGTTTTCTAGGAGGCACACCATTTCTCGTTCTGATGATGCCTGCTTTACCTTGCTACTGCTGCTTAAGTTTTGGTGTTTTATCTAGGAAAACATTCCCTCTATCTTTTCTTTTTTTGGTACTAGGATTCAAACTTTTTTTTTTTTTTTTTTGAAACAGAGTCTGGCTATGCAGTTCAGGCTGACCTAGGACTAATTGTGTAGCCCAGCTGGCCTTGTACTCACAGCAGTGCTCCTGCCTCAGCCTCCTAAGTGCTGGGATCACAGGCATGTGCCACCATGCCAGGCCCCTGTATGTTTTCTGAGTGTTGTATAATTTTATGTCTCACATCTCCATCTTTGGCTCGTGGTGGGTTAGTGTGTGTGTGTGTGTGTGTGTGTGTGTGTGTGTGTGTGTGTGAATCCTCCCCAAGAGTCCCTTCCCACGCATGTGAGGTCTGGGCGGTGCCCACCCTTTAGCTCAGTGCCACTGTCTCCAGCGCTAGAGCTTCGAGCTGAGTGTGAAGCAGGACTGGCGAGTCCTCCAGCTCTGCTTCATTTCCGCAGGGCTCCTCGGCAGACCTGAGTCCCCTGAGTTACCACGAGAGGCGAGAGGCAAGGGGCACCTGGGCAACATCCACAGTGGGGTCCAGTCGGATTTGGGGAAGGCTTGTACAGAGCCTGTAGATCAGCTTAAGGAGTACTGTTGTCTTCTCAGGTCTTCCAAGCCAGGTGCAGCGGCACACGCTTGTAACCTGGCTACTCAGGAGACTGACGCAGGAGGATTGCCAGGTCAAGGCCACACTGGGCAATTTAGTGAGACCCTGTTTCAAAATAAAGAAAAGGGGCTGGGGATTTAGCTCAGCGGCAAAAGCACCTGCCTGGCAAGCGCAAGGTCGTGAGTTCGGTTCCCGGTACCGGAGAAAAACCAAAAAAAAAAAAAAAAAAAAAAAAAAAAAAAAAAAAAAAAAAAAAAAAAAAAAAAAAAAAAAAAAAATAAAAAAAGACCTGGGGATATAGCTCAGCGCTCCTTAGGCTCAGTCCCCACAACGGCAACAAGGAAAAAGTTGTTGTGTGGAGACAGAGGTGCATTATGGATTCCAGGCTGACTTTGGACTCATGGCAATCTTCCCGCCTCGGCCTCCCAAGTGCTGGGATTACAGGCGTGCGTCACTACATTCAGCATAAAGAAAAGTAAAGCACACGTGCTTACAGAAACAGAATGTCTTGGAAGTTGGTTTCTGTTCTGAGTAGTTTTGGGGCCACGTTGCTGGCCGTGTGTTCTACGGTCTGTTTGTCTACGTTGATCAAGGCTGGGGAGCTCGCTCCGGGGCCGCGGTGGCTGCGAAGCCGGCTGCTGCTGCTTCCCGCTCAGGCCTGCCAGTTACTCACTGCACAGGCCGAGTCACCCCTTCCCAGTCTCCATCAAAGGAGGCTTTGAGTCCGCCGCCCCGGGCAGGCGTCGAGGTGGGACTGGGCTGACTCAGAGGGCCGCCCGGACAACTCATGTCTGAGGTCACTCGCGGATGGATCGTGTTCTGACAGCCTCCCTGGCTCCGGAGCCACCCTGTGAGGTCAGGGCGCTGTGCTCGGGCCTGCGCCTGGGCCTGGCATCACGCTAGCTGCGGTCGTGCCGGGGAAAAGCTCAGTCACTCTGCTCCAAGATGGGGGAGGCAGAAAGGGGCTTGGGCGGCGCCCCAGGGCCCATGGTTGCCCAGGTAGGTGGGACTGGTCCCCTGACTCAGTTTCCCATCAGCGTCCTCCACACCACCCCAGAGAGGAGGGCGAGTGGGTTGGGCTGTTGGCTGTGCCAGGTTGCGCTGACTCCAAGCCTGCAGTAGCTCCAGGTTGAGCATGTGGCTCAGTGGTAGGGCACTTGCCTAACCCATCCACGACCCTGTGCTCCATTCCCAGCACCTGCAAAAGAAGATAGTACATTACATCCACTACCAGCAAGTGAAGTGTTGCCTGCCTTTTGTTTTGTTTCTTTTTTGTTGGTTTGTTTTATATTTTTGAGACAGGGTCTCTCTATGTAGTCCAGGCTAGCCTTTGACTCACTATGTAGCCCAGGCTAGCCTTGAATTTGTGGTGATCCTCCTGCCTCAGCCTCTTGAATTTCTGGGTTACAGGTGTGCACCACCACATGGCTGCTTTTTTTAATGACCATGACCATGTCCAATATGAACTCCTTTGCAGTTTAGCCACCTTGCAGGTGGGCAGCCTTGAGCGAGTTCATCAGCCCCTTGAGTGTTACAGGATGGATAGTGGATAATGACTCCTGGGGTTTCGGCCTGATGCCTGCAGCTGTGAATATTCTGTGTAGACAGCTGGGCAGATGTGATTGTCGCAGATCTTGAGATTGGGACCTGTGCGCTCCACAGGCCATCAAGTTGTCCTTGTAAGAGAAAGGCAGCTGGAGGTCAGACAGATACAGGACAGGAAACAATGGTCCACAGCTGAGCCGGGCCAGCAGCCACAGGAAGCTGCACAGGGTGAAGATTCCATGCTCCCCTGGGCCCCAGAGGGCGTGTGGCCTGCAGGGAGCTCCCAGAACTAAGCACACATGCCTGTTGTTCCACGTCCTAGAGCTGTGGTCAGTGCCACAAGCCCAGGCCTGCAGGTGCTGTCTGCACCCCTTCACCCAGGCAAGGCTGAGCCTCTGCTTTCTCCTGCCTTGGTTACCTAGCTATGGAGCAGAGCTGTGGCCCTGTGGGCTCAGATACTTTGTGATCAGTCAGTCAGTCAACACTCATCTGCACTGTGACACTGGCCTCCCCACAGCGCTTGACTGTCAGAGTCCTGCTGGAGCCAGGGAGTGGATCCAGGGCGGTCAGCCGTGTGCAGAACCGGGCAGCCTCTCCTCTCCTGTCTGCGCACCTCCGCCCGTGCTCAAGATGCCACCTTCGTCTGTGCAGTGGGGGCTCAGTCTCACCTGAGGTTCGAGGAAGCCAGGTGGGCTGGGGCCGCATCAGGCCCACGGACAGTTGGGTATGCAGGGTTGGATGCCTGGCACAGTGTGTGACCTGGGAGTCCGAGCCTAAGCTCAGCAGAGAAACAAAGGGTGGCAAAGCAGCAGGGGACGTGGAGCTGAAAAGACGACGGTCTGAAGGGGAGGAGGGGGTGCAGATGGAGGAGCTGAGGCTCCAGGAAGATTTGGGGAAGCCAGGGAAGGGCTGAGATCGAAGCAGCACAGAACTGACGAGAACAGAGAGCCCAGAAGCAAACCTGTACACTGGTGCTCAGCTGCTCGCTGGAAGACCAGCTGCTCCGGGGGAGAGGATGCTCTCCAGGACAGGTGGCACTGGGCAAACCCACACGTGGGAAGATGAAAGTAGACCCGGAGTCTACGGCCATGCCCCCCTGAACGCGCCCGATCTCATCTGAAAGTAGACCCTTAACCGCCCCTATGTAGCAGTCAGCTCAGTTCAGCTGAGAATGAGCTAAAGGCTTGAACGTAGCTCTGAAACTGGGGGCTGCCAGGTGCACACAACAGCTGCACGACACTGAGCTGTGCGCTGATTTCTTGGGTAAGACCCCAGGAGCACAGGCAACAGAAGCAAAGGTAGACAAAGCAGATTGCATCAGAGTGGAAAGCTGCAGCACAAAAAGGGAAACAACAGCACAAAGAGGTGACCCTCAGACTGGGAGAAATGTTTGCAAATCACACTTCAGGTATGGGGCTAATATCCGAAATATACAAGGAGCTCAAGCAACTCAACAGCAAGAAAACAGTGATTTAAAAACAGGCAGGGCCAGGGATATAGCTCAATGGTGCAGTGCTTGCCTGGCAAGTGTGAGGTTCTGAGTTCAAGTCCTGATTCCACCCCCAAAAAATAAATAAATAAAAACAGGCAAGCCAGGCGAGGTGGTGCATGCCTATAGGCGAGGTGGTGCATGCCCCAGCACTTAGGAGGCGGAGGCAGGAAGATTGCTGCAAGTTCGAGGCCAACCTGGGCTACAGAATGAGCTGAAGGCCAACCTGAACTACGCAGTGAGACCCTGTTTCAAAAAATAAAAACAGGCAAAAGAGGGTTGGGCTTGGTAGTGCATGCCTGTAATCCCATCACTCAAGAGGCTGAGGCAGGAGAAAGCTGTGAATTTGAGGCCGGCCTGGGCTACAGAGTAAGTTGAAGGCTTCCCTGGACTACATAGGGAGGCTGTGTCTCTATAAACAACAAACAAAAAACAACAAAAAAGCTAAAATTAGAGCTGAGGCTGGAGCTTAGAGACAGTGTGCTTGCCTACCATGTACAAGGCCTTGGGTTCTCCCCGCCAGTACTGAAAAAAAAATCCCAAAAATAGAACCATCAGATGAAGACTGGAGATGCTGCACGGCTGTGGAGAGTACACAAGACCCTGGGTTTGATTCTCAGTACTGCAAAAATAAAATAAAAATAAAAGTAAATAAAATGTTATTTTAGCTGGGTGTGGTGCCACTTGACTGTAATCCCAGCTACTTGGGGAGACTGACGGAGGAGGTTTGGAAGGCAAGGCCAAGCCACGCAACTTTGCAAGATGCTGTTTCAAGGTGAAATAAACGGTGCTGGTGCTATAACGCAGAACCGGAGCGCTCGCCTTGCGTGTGTGAGGCCCTTCAACCCCAACTCTGGAAAAAAACACATGGGCTATTTAATGTTAGGTGAATGTCATTTTTTTCTTAAGAGTAGGAAAATTAGTTGGGGAAAAGGAATGGGAAATAGAAATAGCTCCTGAGAGAAAGGAGGGGCCCCGAATAGGTTGCCCGTGAATTTCATTTTTAAATTTTTTGTTTGTGTGCTTTTATTTCTTGGTGTTTTGCTTTGAGATGCGGTCTTGCTAGTTGCCCAGGCTGGGTCAAACTCCTGCGGCCAGGTGATGCTCCCACCTCAACCTCCTAAGCAGTGGGGATGCAGGAATATGCTACCTACCTGGCCATTAGGTGACTTTCATTTCAATAAAATAGTGTTTTGTTTTGTTTTGTTTTGAGACAGGGTTTCACTATGCAGTTCAGGCTGGTTTTGAACTCACTATGCAGCCCAAGCTGTTCTTAAACTTGCTCAAGGTGATCCTCCTGCCTCAGCCTCCTGAGTACTTGCAATTACAAGCATGTGGCACCACACCCACACCTTACTTGGACAGATAAAAAATGAAGTACGTCCAGAATGCTGGGACCCACATTTGCATATATCCACCTTCTACTGTGTTTCCTTTCTTCCCCTTCTCCCCGCATAGGTACACACTGCACCGCTACACTGAATTTATCATCTGCTAGGGTGGGTGTGTGTGTGCACGTGCATGTGCGTGGACTGCGTTACATCTCTCCCTATTTTGAGTTTTAAATTTTTTTTTTTTTTGTCTTTTTTGAGACAGGGTCTTGCTATGCTGTTCAGGCTGGCCTTGAGCTCACTGTGTAGCCCAGGCTGGTCTCAAACTTACAATGACCCTCCTGCCTCAGCCTCCTGAGTGCTGGGATTACAGGCGTGCGCCACCACACCCAGCTGAGTTTTAAAGTTTGAAACAGGATCTCACTAAGTCACTAACTTGCCTCAGCTGGGCTCAGACCCTCTTGCCTGAGATCCTCCTGCCTCAGCTTCACAGAGTGCTAGAATTACAGGTATGCACCACCATGCACAGCTTGTTTGTGGCTTTGGTTTGGTTCAGTTCAGTTTTTTGGGACAAGGCCACAGTGTGCAGCCCAGGCTGGCCTTGAACTTACATAATCCTCCTGTCTCCTCCCAAGTGCTGGGGTTACAGGAATGTGTACAGGCTCGCATACACCACCATGCTGTGTGTATGCTATAAACTGCTTTTTTTTACTGAAGATTATTTTCCTGAAGTCCCTTGGTCTCATCCTGTGAAGCTCCAGCACAATCGTTCCTTCAGGTACCACCATTTCGTGGTGCACATGCGCCTCATTCTCTGCTCAGCTGGACAGTGGACACTGAGGCATTTCCAGTGTGACTTGAAAGAAGCCACAGAGCTCCGGACATTCTTACCCGTGTCCCACCAGCATGACTGGTTTTGGCCACAGGTGCATGGTGAGTGCGAGCTGGGGGAGGTGAGGAGGTGAGGAGGGCTGCCCTCTGCCTCCTGCCGGGAGAGGACACTGCAGAGCTGGAGCTGAGAAGTCGCCTACAAGCTAGGAGCAGCGCTCTCCGACTGGAATCTGCTGGTGCCTGGATGTCGGCCTGGGTGCCCGGGGCAGGCGTTGCACCCCCAGCTATGAGGGGAATCCCATTTTGTTCTTATCTTTTGCCTGTGGTTCCCCTAGGTTGTTTCTCTCAGCAAATTGTGTACATTCTTTATGTAGGATGGATCTGAATCCTTATGATCTATAACCTCTCCCAGACTGAGGCTTTTTCACCTCCTTTTAATGGTGTTTTCACAAACAAAAATGAGCCCAGCATGTTGGTGCAGGCCTGTAATCCCAGGCTCAGGAGGCTGAGGCAGAATTGCCGCTAGTTCGAGGCCAGCCTGGACTCCATAGTGAGTTCAAGGCCAGCGTGGGCTACATAGCAACAGCCTGTCTTTTAAAAAATAATTGCTAAAGAGTGGAGAGGAGCAGTTTAAAAACTGTACATCCCTTTTCACTTTAATCTGCACTGTATATCTGCTACCAAAAGAAAAAACCTGAGTGACACTGAAACTACACCAAGAGCCTGGTCTCCGTCACTCGCCAATTAAACCTGCGTGCAGCTCCTGTGTCCTGAGGTGTCAGCACCCTGGAATCTTGTGTGCGCTCTCCAACAGGTGGGAGGCGCCGTTGCTGCTCCCAGCTCCAACGCTGGTGCTCCCCACGGAGCAGGCACTCAGTGAACACTGCAAAGGGAAGGACTGGCATGAAGGAATAGGAGGAGGGCGGCCTGAGCAGGTGGTCTTCCTGCCTCAGCCGCCCATGTAGCTGAGCCTAGAGATACACACCACCTCGGCCAGCTGCCACAACCCTGTTCTCCCTTCTGAGTATCTACCAGAAGTGGAATTGCTGGATCACAAGGTAACTCTATTGTTAATTATTTTAGGAGTCACCATACTGTGCCCTGGAGTGGCTGCCACATTTTACATTCCCGGGGCAGTGCACAAAGGTTCCAGTTTCCCCAAATTCTTGCCAAGACTTACTACTTTCTGGTTGCTGTATCCTAATGACTGTGAAGTGGCACTTCTCCTCACACTTCTCTTTTTGAGACAGGGTTTCACTATGGTTTCAGGCTGGTCTCGAACTCGAAGGGATCCTCCAGTCTCAGCCTCCCTCAGTGCTGGGATGACTGACGCATCACCCACCATGCCTGGCTGCCCGATGTCACCTGAAGCAAGTGCAAGAAGAAGCTCAAAGTATTTCCTCAATTCTAGGCTTACAGACACCAGAAGCTCTTGAGTTAAGTACTAGGGCTTCATTTCCTAAGTTTTGGGCTTCACTGACTCAGGCATGGCTTTGTGAGAAGCCCCAGGGCTCAACCCTCTCCCTCCGGCTGAGCTCTGGGTGGTCCACGTGCTTTCTCCCAGCTCCTGCCTGAAGGTGGCGCACTTTTCGAGGTGTTTTCCCAACTCCCCAGGATGGGCACAGAACTGGGCGCCAGGCTGTGTGAGCAGGCCTGTCCGACTCCTGCTCCCTCTAGCCTCTCTGCCCGCCTGCACGCTTGACCTTTACCCAGACCCACCCGGGTGCCACCCAGCCCCGTGCCCCTATGCACCACGCTTCTGCCTCGACTGCCTTTTCCACTCCGACCGACTGACTCCACCGGCTCTCGGCCTCCACACAAACAGGCCGTCCTCAGGAAAGCTCTCCTGGACCCGGCCCCGGGCAGGCGGGATGACCTCCGCGTCTCGCGCACTAACATCACCTGCATTTCAGGGCAACGGTGTGCAGCACACGGGTAACTCGTGGCGATTGCACGATCTCTGGCTGGCCCAAGGGGGGAAGAGAATAACATTTTATTTTTGTTTTCTTGTGAGACACGGTCTTGCCTGTAGCCCAGGCTGGCCTCGGACCTATGACCCTCGGACCTCAGCTTCCTAAATGCTGGGGTTGAGGCCTGTGCCCCGCAGTAGCTGGAGCAACGTGTGAGGGAGGCCAGCGTGGGTCCCCGCAGCGCTCCTCTGCGCGGACGAGCGGCAAGCTCGGACGGCACCTCGGTTCCGGGCGCTTTTGTTTTGGGCGCCCGGGGCCTGGCTGGGAGAGGCTGGAGGTTAAAGGTGTATGTTTCATGGAGCAGGAAATGGCTCAGACAAGTAGCAAGGCAGTTAGGCTGCTGTGGGAGCAGGAAAGAGGAGGAGCGACACAGCTGCAAGCATGGGATGGATAGTCACCCACTCAAGGGTGCCTGGTACCAAAGCTGCAGAAACGCGTTCGAGTCCCAGCTCTGTTGCTAACCAACACGAGGTGCTCTGGCCAAGTTAGCAGACTTCAGGTCACGCGGTGTGTTCGCTCTGACAGCGACAGGAGTAACGGATGCAGTGTGCCCGACCGGGAGATGCTGAGCAGCGGGTCGTCACCCCAGCCCAGCTGGCCTCCGTCCCAGGAGCCCTGCACCGATGGATTCCATCCAGGGAGGGCGGGCAGCATCTCGGGCCCAGACGAGCTTGGCCCCGTATGGCACCCGGCAAGGTGCCAGCCCTCCAGCTACAAATCCCCTTAGGGCCCCCGCCCCCGGCCCTGGAGGCCTCTGAGGGCCAGTCTCGCTCTCCCGTCTCTTTGCGCCACCCTGCCGTTCCACCCTCAGTCGGACGGCGTTTGGCTGGACGGCGTTTGGCTGGCCGGGGTCTACGCCCTCGGATCGCCACCTCTTCAAGGTCAAGATGCGGCCGCTGCCCCCGGCAAGCCCAGCCCTCTGAGTCCCCGGGTGGGATGCCGGGAGGTTCGTGGACTGAACGCTCGGCGGCTGGGTCACGGTTAACGACGCGGGAGCTCGGCTCCTTCCCGAAGCCCGACTCAGCATCGCCCGGGAGGCTCTCGCCCGCCCGGCGGGGCCCTGGGATGCAACCTCTACTCTCGCATTCGGCAGGCGCTCCGTCTGTAATCCAGCCACCCAGATTGTAATCTGTGCAGCCTTGCCGTCCTTCGGGCTCAGCCCGCCGCCCCAGGCATTTCGCAGCTCTGTCGCGGACGCGGGCACAAGCGGTGGGAACCTGCCGCCTTAGGGCGGGGTACCAGACCCGGCCAGCCCTTCCAGACTCTTAGTCCCGCCCCTCTGGCCAGACAGGCTCCAGTCGCCCCTAGCAACAGCAGCAGGGCGGCTTCTAGGGCCGCGGTGATTGGCGGAGCCCGGGAGCGGCGACGCGGTCACTTCCGGCAGCCGGAGGCAGCGGAGGAAGCTGAGGGACGGCCATCTTGGGTCCGTGAGGCTCTGAGGTGCCGGGGAGCGGCGGCGGCGGCGTTGGGCAGGGCAGAGCCGAGGCGGAAAGCGGGCCGGAGAAGGGAGAACAGCCGGGGGCAGGCACCTCCTCCGCGGCCCCCTCCATGGTTGGCGCCCGCAGCCCGCGGCCGCCTGTCTCGCGCTCCACCTCCTGCTCGACGTCCTGCGCCTCCAGCTCCCCGGCGGCTGCCGGCGGCGCTGTGTGGAGGCCCCGGGGCTGAGGTCTGTGCGCTGCGGGCTGCTGCGGGCTGCTGC